GTGGATGGATACAACTCGAATACGGGAGGGATACGACTACAGATCTTTATTAAAACCCAAAAAAAAAAGAAAAAGAAGAGGGGTAGAAGACGTTATAGACCTGAGATCAACCACATATGTCATCTTCTTCTATTTATACGACTCGCCACAGACTTGAGATCAGATATGGGTACTTTGGGATTCTTTTTCCTGATGCTTCCGGAGGCTTGATGCCATCAGATCTCTCATAGATCAACTTGGTGTGATCGGCTCTATCTCTCTCTCTCTGTGCAATTGGTGTGATCGGCTTGCCCTAGATTAAATACTAAAACCATATGGATTTAATTACCCATGAAAAATAGAATCTACCCATGTAATTTAATAGCGTGAAGTAGGAGTGTTCAAAAAAACCAAATAACTGATCATCCGAACCGTAACAGACCGATCCGAAAGAAAATGGGCGGGTGCAAAGTAAGCCGATTCGGCTTACGGAATTGATACACAAATAGCTAAAGTAATCGGTTCGGTGTACGGGTTGGTACAAGCCAAAGCCTAATTCCCCAAACCGTTTGACTATATTAGACACGTATGCATATATACAATATTTTGTCTTTAAAAAAAATAAAAAACATAAAATATAAAACCCTCAAACCCTAAACTAAATAAAATCTACACCTCCTCTGTAGTTTCTGCGGCTCCTTTTCTCTTCCTTTCTCTCTAAAGCCACTAAACGTTATCTTCTATAATGACCAATCGACCACAGCTTGCCTGTAATTTCTCCATCTCCATGAGCAAATCTTGTTAGTCTTATAAGACAACATCCTTTAATTGAAGACTGGTTGAAGGATGTGCGAATAATGAAAAAGAAGATGGGTTAAAGGATGTGCAGACAGTGGAAAAGAAAAAGAAAAAGATGGGATATGGTGATGGCCTAAGTGGAAAATTCTGGAAGCTAGCTTATTGGATTCCAAGGGAGTATAAGCTCAGGTCCTTAAATTTTTTGGATTCAAGTGTTAGGTTGATTTATTGAATCTGAAGCTCTTTTTTTGGATTCAAATGTTAGGACTCTCCCCACCTGATAACCGAACTTAAAACTGACCGATTTATATAGTCGGTTCTCTGTTCGGTTGTTCATGATGAATGGTTCGATTCGGTTTATAAATTTTACTTCTGTCTATAATAGGTTCGGCTGGCAGAAGTCGGCTCTTCCGACCCTAAAGGTCAGGTGAACACCCCTAGCGTGAAGGGCTAAAATTGTGCCAGAATTTGCTCTTCCATCTTTTTCAACGAAACTTTCTTTTTCTTCCAACAGTGATACTTAGAAAAATCATAAGTATTTTGTACCCATATCATCAACTTCCCACCAGTTAAAAGCACCCATTTAATTAGCACTACAGATTTAATCAAGACTCTTTTGTCTTCTACAAGTTAGTGGTTTTTCCAATTTCTATTTGGGGTATGATGGAGACTGAAGAATAACATTGATGAAGACAGAGCTTGTAAAGGATATTTTAGGTATTAAACATAAATTTTTTCAAGGGAAGCTATGAAAACAAAGCCCACAACATGCTTTGGGCGTGTGAAGCATATTCTCTGTCAGTTTGAATGGCAAATGGATGGCAAAATGTAACGGTTTCACTTTGGTACACAATAATGGGGAGGTCATTTGCATAATTTTAAAATTCGAGGAGTTGATGTGTTTTTTGGCCAAAACCACCCCCCTCATGCCCATGCGGGGGTTGGGTTAAACCTTATTTTTAATGTAGTTGTATGTTTTTTCTTCTTATGTTTGTACAATTGATTGGATTCTTTTTCCGCCATACTATGTATCTCCTTCTCTTAATAACTATTTTGTTTCTTATCAAAATAAAGATAATTGGTTACTAAAATATGGTAATCTACCTTCACCACAAAAAATACTATAAATATGAAATTGATAATTTAGCACGATTCTTATGGTGCTCAAATTATTAACAAACCTCCTTCTAGAAGATTCTGTGTTAAATATGTTTAATGAAATTGACATTCTTATATTTTTCTATGATGTCATGGTCTTTGGAGGTACACTCACAATTTGGAATAGAGATGCTTGCGACCAGAAGCAATCAAATTATAGGGAGAGGCTTATATACAACCAAAGAGACGAGATTTATTACAATTTTGGTAGAGGTGCAATTCAGACGAGTTAGGAGGTCAACTCAAGCTCAATCCAAATTATGAAAGCTTCAATATGGACTCAATTTGAACCCGACAATCAACCCTATTCTTCAACCCTAGTATTGCCCATGTTTAGTTTTTAAAGCTCGGGTTGAACTTGGGTTAATGAATTTGGACACAAATTTGTTTTCATAATGTGTGTTTGTGTGCTGATACAAATTTAAAGTACATACATCCTTCGGGACATTGTTGTAACAGATAAAAAAGGAGAAGGGGAATAATTACAATCTGAGATCAGTCTAATAACAATGGAAACATATTCAATACATCATTATACTTTAAGATTGAGCTCCTGCTGCAAGAAATTATTTAAGATTGTCAATTGTCAGCCACATATCCAGGACTCAAGTCATGAAATGTAAAATATCAGAATCCATTAATACTGGAAATGAAAACTGAGTGTTGCCTGAATTTGTTTACCACCCTACAACCCCCGATCAGGGTCACACGACCCTGAATGGGGTACAATTGCGACCTGGATCGCCGAAAACTCTGACACCAGATGTCAGTTCTATCCTCAAATCCAAACTGACCCCAAATCAATACCCTAACCACAAATTTTTGAAAAATATAAAAATTGCACAAAACAATTTAATTAAGGGAGCATGAAGGAAAAATATAAGAAATATACATTATAATTTCCATAAGAGGCGAAATTGAGTGGAGATGAAGTTGCATACCTGGATTGATCGAACATTATCGATTCAACTAAGTGCTTAGGCAAGTGCATTGAACAGATAGTACTATCCTATAGTACCCTCCCCTTTCTTGTCATCGATTGACTGTTGTCTCACTCCCTCGATCTATATTTCCATCTCAGAGGAAGGTTCTCGATTTTGTCTCGGAAGGTAAGGTCCTGGAGGTTTGTAAGGACTGAATTTATTGTATTGTAAATGACTGAATGAGTGAATGTCCTTGGCTCATATCAGCCATTACAGACCACCCATTACTGGCCTGTAACAGCCTGTAACATCTGTTCCGGTGAAAATCTCATTCTCGCCTATATAGTGGAGCCCATTTTTTCAATCTATAATTCGACATCTTTAAAAGCCAGACCAAATACTGACCTGTAATGGCCCTGTTACCAGTGAGAATTTCATTCTCACCAACCGAGTGAAGCCCCTTTTTCAATCTATAATTCAATGCTTTCAAAAGCTTGTGTATTGTGTTACCTCTGAATGCATCACATCACATTAAACAAAGAGGGGCTGTCTCCCTCACACTCCTTGCCATACCATCCCTTTCTTAGTGTACTCCAGCTTTCCAAGCATAAGGCATTCCACTCCAAAGGGCCAAACAGTTGGATCCATAGTTCTTTTGCTGCTGGACAGTGAAGGAGTAGATTATTCACGCCTTATGCTGACTCCTTGCCCGTTAAGCACCAACTGACAACATTTTTTGTTATTGTTCTTAGACGATCAGCAGTTGGAATAGCCTCGGCTGCCAAAACAAGTAATGCAATCTTCTTATTTTTTATATTTGATGTGAATTTTGAAGTCAAGATTGATTTTGCATTTTGCTTATGGGATTTTGCATCTTTCCCATTCTTGTTTTTTTTTTTTCTTTCCCGTAATATGCTTTTTGCTTCTTTTTCCATGTTTCAGTACCCTATTAGAGTGTAATAATTCTTTTCTTGGAACCTATTAGAGGTCATTGCTTCGTTCAATGCTAAACTTTGTGGGCTTTTAAGCTTGAGATTTTGATTTGAAGTATGAGAGCAGTGACTTTGTACTAGGATATGCCAAAGGTTATATTTGTGTCCAGCATCCTGCCTAAGTGAGACTGTTAGTAGCCTTCTATTATACCTTTCATTAACTCTACCACTAATTCTTTTTTATTGATTTTATGTAGTCAAACATGTGACACATCTTTTTGTTGATTTTTCTGGTACCTTGTGGATTAAAATCCTTTGTAATTTGTTTATCTTTCCTTTTGTAAATTTCTTGTGAAAGTCATCAGCATGGATTCCTATTTATACAATTTAGATAGATCATGGATATTCTCACCAAGAAGGCTAGGAAGAGACATAAAATAGCCAATTCAGAACTACCGCAAACATTGAAATTTTTCTTGAGACCACCAAAGTGATTTTATTGGGTAGCATATGCTCCAGATGATCTTGAAGTTTTGGGATACAACTAATAAAGCTTGTAATTCTCTTGCAAAATTTTGCAGCCTTTATTAATTGTTTGGTTGTAAAGGAAAACTGATGAGTTTACACTCCGCTTGTTTTGGTGTAATATATTTGCAGCATTTTCCGGTGTTGGGTGGTATGGGTAATTTTTTGGCGTAAAATATTTTACTGAAAATAGCTTATAAATGCTGAAAAAGGACTTCTAGATTTTGAGATTTTTTGGTGGAATTCATTTTCGACATATATGTCTAAATAATAGATATGCAAACGACTATGCTTGCATTGTTATAAAAACTGTGTTACATACATTTTGACATATATCCCCATTTACATATATGTCCATATTCTAGGAGTTATGTTGCCACTGTTGCAAAGTGACCCAAATCCATAGTTATTTAGGTATTTTGTTTAAATCACTAATAAAGATAATTATTTTCCAACGTAATGAAACGCCTGAAAATGTGACAAACATGATTTTGTTTCATATCAAATGGTTCTAATGGAAAATATTTTCTTGAGTAGAACGTGTTACATCAAAACAAACATATGGTTAACTTATATGATATTATATTTTTGTCTTGTCCATCATTTTCGTTGTTTCTTTTTAGAAAAGTAACTTATCCATCATTTTCCTTTATTGTCAAAACTTGTATCATGATCTTAAGTTCCTATGCTGAGCAGGTATGGGCCATTCTGGATATGCAGCACCTTAATATTTGTGGCGGCTTCCATTGGCACATTTGTTACCTATGTGGCACACAAGCTACAGAAAAAAGAATGGAACTATGACATAAATCTGGTGACTTGGTCTGCGGGTTTGTTTTATGGCTACGTCACTATAGTTCCTATTTGCCTCTATATAATTCTCAAATACTTCTCTGCTCCATCTGGTCTCATTCAGCTGTTTTGTCTGTATGGCTACTCCCTGTTTGTCTTCATTCCTGCTTTGGTAAGGTTTATGCTTTCAGTTTTAGTCTGAATAGTTGTTCTTGAAAATCTTTGGCGAATTTCATGCTTCTAAAAATTGCCTATATATGGTATATAAAGATTGTATGTTGATCAGGGATATTACAGGTCCAAGTAGTTTGACCTGTATAAAGTACCTTTTTATGTGATTATACATGTGGCTTTTGCTAGTAAGAAATTGGGAATGTATTAAACAATGGGTTTTTTATATTACACATTCCCGTTGACATATGAATAATTCTACTCCATACCATTTCATTTCGCTCTTAGTAATGTTGAATTTCATATTTCATCTAACAAAAGTCTGCAAATTAATTTACATTCATAGCCACTGTTGAGTGTTGACTTGAGAGTCCGACAAGTAGGCTCTTTACTGCATCAACTGCTAAGACCCAATGCCTCAATGCATACTTTCTTGTGAAACTTCCATAGCAACCCATGTTAGCGATAATTCTCCTTAATTATTGTTCTAATATAGTGTGTGCTTTCTTGATAGGAACTAATTTGCTGCTGAAATTTTTGCTCCTTATATTTTTGCAGTGTCTCTCCGTCATTCCCTGGGAAATTTTCAGATGGGTGGTTGCAGGGGTAGCTGGGTTCATGTCGGCAACCTTCGTTGCACTTAATCTCAGAAACCACATTAAGTCTGCAGGTGAAAGGTGGTTTTTGATTGTGGCTGGTATCTTTCTGTTGCAGCTGCTGGCTCTTGCCCTGGTACTGAAGCTCTACTTGTTCACAGTCACAGTATAAATATATATATAATCTTAGGTGGCATCAGCATATTATAGATCATGGAGGCAGGGCTTTCAGGCCAATTGGCCTTTCTGTCTGATACACTTGAAAGGCATCAACATTCAAAGCCCATGTATTCTTTCATTTTTGACTATAAATTTCAAGTTACTTTAGAATTAGAAGATTGTGTTCTGAAAAGTGGATGTTAATAAAATGGTAAGATTTGCCACTAAAGTGGCTTATTCCATCTATATATGGGTTTGAATGTCATTGAAGTTTTCCTACCTTGATGTCCTAGGCTTTTGAACCAAATTCATTTGAACTCCGGGAGTGAACCCGATATTCTAGCATGTTTCAGTTCAACTGTGGTGGAACAATTTTAATTGTGGAAAAATGGCAGTTGAAAGAAAGTGGTGCTGTTAGTTTTTGAAGAGTAGTTTTAAGAGGGGCTCCCTTGGGTTTGCTAGAGGTGATTTTGAGAGGGGCCATTTTTGCATGTTTTTGCAAGAGAAGGATTTTTGAGAGTTGCATACTAAATGAATAATACTTTGATACACTAACTATCTAGGCTTTTAGTCTAGTTGGCTAGAATTCACGTCTCTCAAATGGGAGGTTTGCAAGGTTTGGGTACAACCTTTGTAAAGGCGAGGCATCACGTATGAAGGGTTGTATAATTTGGGCTGCTGTTCGTTGGGTCTCAACTCGGTTCATGCTTGCAGTTGCATATCTGCACCTCTTCCCTCTCTCCTTGGGATTT